TTATCTTTTCGAATAAGAGTGAAAAATAAAGCATAATTTGCAGCAGCGTTGAGGGAGCCTGTATGTCATGTGTTAGCTGTGAAGTCTGAGAGGTTAAAATGTTCGTGTTTTTTTATTTTAAACAGAATAAAATGCTTCTAAAAAGAGCTTTAAAAAAACTACATGAACGATTAAAGTCGTCTAAATGTTTTAAGCCCCGGCTGGTGTCTGGGCAGTTTCTTCTGGCTACTGTGGTTTATAACAGGTTTACATTACTTAATGGAAAGTAGTGAAAACATTAGCAAAAAATACAAATGGCTCTTGTCTGTGCTGTGCAGTCTGCTCTCAATGGAATCTTTTATGCCTTTTCTCAATTCATGATTACAGTCATTGTTAATTAGATTCTGGTTCAGACTTTCACATTTTACTGGGGTTTTGACATAAATGACCAGTGATTTAACTCCTAAATAAAATTATAACTCCAGTTTCATATAATGCATTTTAAAAGGGAAGTGTGGCTATTGATTCCAAATCAATAAATACCTTGCGAACGTACGACCATCTCCATCTCCAAGACAGCTGTGATTATGCAGTGAGGCAGATGATGGTAGTACAGTAAGTGTGAATCGAGGAAGGCAAATCTTTTGTGGGCTGTTCAGCCTCCACAGTACTTCATTTGTTCCAAATTCTTTCATTGGGCTGGTGCTACAGATCAGCGGTCTTCAACCCTAACCCTAGAAAATACCAATCCTAAATAGTAGGTTGCTATTGAATTATGAATTTCTAAATATACTGAAATAGTGTATATGGACAATTGCATTATGACTGATTAAACTGTTTAATTTGTTATATCAAGCAATTTAGAGATCATTTAGGGCTAAAATCAAACCTCTCTTCAGCCCTTAAAGCATTTCTCTTAATTGAACAGATTAAGTACGTGATTCTCTGCTTTACAGATGTTGCAAATCTTTAATAACAGGTGATCTATGAGACTAACTGGATTGGGGCTGTCCAGGGCCAGGGCTGGAAATCCCTGTTTTAGACTAAAGAAGAAACCTCCTGGAAAGTTTTTCTGACATGGTTATGGCCGACATTCTGGGAGGTCTACAGATGAGCAACTGTCTTTAGTGAAATACGATGTTTGTGCAGGAGTACATTTAAAGGTCTGGGGAATGTATCAACTTATTGAAGGAATTTGAAAACCGTTCTAGATTTCTTGAGCTCTTGCCTGTATTGGCAAGAAAGATCATCATGGAAAATGTCTTTAAAATGTTCATTCTCACTTTGCCAATTAGGGACAACAGTTTAATATTAGCCAATTAAAGACGAGTACATTTGTTCTGTATTGCTTGGGTATTTATCAGATTTAATTGATTTTGATCTTGCACAGGTACCTCGAGAGCATTGTTCCCTTAAAAGAAAAAGCTAAATCTCCCCAAGGTTTCTACAGCACACACAACCTAACAAGCTCTATTCTTTCAGCTGATCTGCTCCTGGATAGCCCTGATTGTGTCAACCGCAGGCTTTCATTCCTCAGATTGGCTTTTCCAAGGAACATGAAGACGACGTAACATTCAATAAGTAATGCTTCATCCTGAAAGCCTTATTGTTCCTGTGGTAATCAAAAAAACCCACACTGCCCCTCTACGTTGCATCATCCTGCTGTGTTTGGCCCCTTTCAAACATAATTCAATACAGTCTACCTGTTTATAAATAAACACTGTCGTGTCAGAGAACGGCTCCAGTCAAAGACGGTAGCTATGGAAACCAATTGATTATGTAGGCCAGAAATATGGCAGAAAGAAAAGAGATGAAGCCTTTGCTTCTCCCCTCTGCTCAGCAGTTGTCTGCATTGAGATGGATTAAGCCCTTGTTTCAGACATGTTTTTCTAAAGAGCTTTGTGGTTGTGAGTCAGCACATGTGAATGGTGCCCTGGAGATCCAGGAAGGGTGTAGACCCAAAGTCTGACCTTATCCCTGCAGTGCAAAGAAACTGCCTGAAACTGGGTCACTTCATATCCAGTTTTTCTTCACTTGTCCTTCCTGAGCTCTTTTTTCATTTAACAGGATCCTCTATGAACTACAAATCCCTTTATTATTAGATTTTTATAAATTATGCATAAAATGTATTTATCTGTGGCACATTTCTTGCCCATTGCGTGATATGCAATTCATCTCTCTAACCAGGAGTCAACATTGTCGTCCATTACTTTGCTGTGCTCCTGCATGCGAAACACAGCACGGGGTGATTCTTTATAAGGAAGTCTGACAAAGCACTGGGAAGGCTCTGCGTGAGAAAAGTTATAAAAAGACAACAGATTACTTGACGCTGTAAATGTGAGCAACACAGAACGCTTTCAAAGGTTTTCATACCTCATAGGTTAAAAAGTCCTCTGAAATAAAACAAGGGTAAAATTTGCTTTTGAGAGTTTTGTTCCTTTTTCAATACCTAACTCGGGGGTGCTATCTGTGTGGAGTTTGCATGTTCTTCCCGTGTTCACGTAGGGTTCCTCTGGGTACTGTGGTTTCCTCCCACTTTCCAAAAACAGAATAATTGGATTCTGGAAGAACAGGCCCTAGGTGTGTGTGTGTGTGCATGTCTGTGTGTCGCCCCTGCAATGGACTGGTGTCCCACCCAGTGTGAACCCTGCCTCATGTCCATTGCTTGCTGGGATAGGCTCCAGCTCCTCAGTATTGAAGTAGCTATGCTATGACGTTCTTGTGCTGCGTTGGACAAGTTAACGTCTCTGGTACAACAGCCTCTGAATACATTCTTGTGTTGACATACTGTAGCCTCAATGTATGAGTTTCTGTTTCATTCTTTGGTTTGTCTTTTTTTTTTAAAAAAAAAACCGCCGGGGTTTAAAAACAACCGAACAACCAAAATCCAAATCCCCCCTGGTGGAAAAACCGAATTCCAAGGAACCCCCAAAAAAAAAAAAGAAGAAAGTCCCAAAAAAAAAAAAGACAAGAAAAACAGAAAAAAAAAAAGACCCCCCTCCCCCTAAAACCAGACTGTTTTTCACATGTTTGTGGGGAAAAAAAACAGAAGAGACACCGCGAGAGCTCAAAAAAAGCTTTGGGGATGTCTTTCCATACATTATAGGAGCTTGTGTATGAGAAAACACACAGACAACATGGTGCTTGTTTTTTTTTTCAGATCTGCTCTTCAGCTCTCCCGTTACCAAGGCAACCTTCTAAAGCAAGAATAGTGATGTTGTATATACCCCCCACCCAACACATACACTTTAATAATAAAGAAATACAACAGGACTATAAGCTTGTTACTCATTGTTTATACTTTAAGACATCCCACAAGGTTGCTAGGTGGAAATAACGATATCCAGAGCAGGTTTAAGAAGCTATTACATCCAACTCAACTAACTAACAGTAACGCTTTGTAACCAGGAGTCTTCAACGTAAAGCAGTTTGGGGTCATTACTACCAAGCTCCACAGTTTCTCCCCAGTGTCAAATAAGTGTCACCCCCTTTCCCTCACAGAGACCTCAGAGTCATGTGATTAGAGATCCCTGTGCTTGTTTCCCTGCTGTTTTATAATTCTAAACAAGTTTGGAGGCAGCAAACTGTGAAACTAAGAATTTGCAGAGTGCGTGCTATTCTCATTCACTCTGTATGGTTCTCAATTGTACAGTTACTTGAGCTCTCTTGTTCTTGGTGTGAAGAAGCACCTACTGTATCAGCAATGGTACTCGAAGCCGAAACGTGTATATGAATGTCAAAAGAGTGAAAGTACAGTCTTAGAAATACAATCATATAAGGCTTCTGGGATTTCTGATGTTTTAGGCATCAATAAGAAACCAGTTAAAAACAGAGAAAAATTGACAGGATTGCAAAATACACTTATCTCTAGGCTTTACAATTCAGATCACACGTACACAATATAAGGTGTAATCGTTACAGATCTTTAGTAAAGTTTAAACTTTACTGTATCTGATCTTTACGTTAGCGGACATATTCCTAGTTTCTGAATTCTCAAACTTCCTGGACAAATGTTGTTTTGACATCGTCCCCGACGCCTGCAATAAACTGAATCCCTGGAAAGAAATGTTTTCCTTTTCTGTAACAACTTCTTAAAGCTTTCCTGTGGGGAAGCTATCGTGAAGTTATCGTGATTTTGTTCATTTTCTGTACATGACAAAGTTCAAACCCTAAACTACACTACAAAGTATTTAGTGAACTGCAAGTGATGATAAGAGAGAACTTCTCTCCACCTTTAACACAGATGAAAGATATTTGAAAAGCACAGCAACATTTTATTAATACAGCTACAGAGTGAATTAAAAAAAAAAACGTTTGTATCGGGGTTAAACCTGTGCCAGTTTTTAAATGATTGAACCAAACTTTAAATATGCATTATGGATCATATGCATGCGTAAAAGAAAAAAATATATGAATACCTTTTGGTTAAATTAAGCTTTTTATATCACAAATAATTCGCAATTCGTTGTCAAATTATCCTAGAGCTGTCACGCAACGATAATGCCAACAACCAAGAGATGGCGCTGTAAAACCGACTATTTCTGGTCCAACAACGCGACCATCAAAGATAGGAGTTGAGAGTCAGACCTCTCCCAAAACTGTCCCTCAATTTTGGAAATTGAAGTTTAAGCATTCCAATATATATTTGGAGCACAATTTGAACGAAAAACGGCCCATAATATAAACAAACGACTCGGGTCGCTTATGATAACCAGTTTCCTATTAAAGTTGTGGTCAATTTTACCATTCCTCTAACTTGAGTATAAGAATATAAGAATATAAGGTGACACTATGCCAAGACGAATATTCTCAAATTCTTATCAAATCCGGAGAGTGATTTGTACTCAACTTCAATTTTACAGTCGTTAAATCAAAGCCCCACTTCCACAAGCGATGCGAGTGTTGCAGGTGCTTTTGGTGGACTTGCACCCGATGTCTGAGGGCGTGCGACATTAATTCGAGCTCGGCATTTCTCGGCTAACTTTGAACATAGTTTTAGTTAGTTTTAACAGCCCCCTGTTTTAACAGTTCTTGCGGAAACCGGACTTTCCCCCGGGATTCGGCTGTTATTATTAGCGCTCGGGATGCGCCACTGTCGCTCCTCCTCCAAAGAGGGCAAAAGAGTATGAACTGGAAGGGCGACGCAGATAACTTAGACTCTGGAGGCTGGGTGCTGAGACAGGAGCTGCAGGCTGCACGCATCAACCCCTTTTCCTTACAAGCAGCGCGTCTCCCTGCAATGGAATCATAACCCTCATCTGCCCCTTTCCAAACATACAAAGCATCACTCAGGAACCTTTTTTTTTTTTAAACAAGTTGTACTGAAGATCTCGCCCCAGCGGTGGATGAGTCAGGAAGATGTGGTGGCTTTTAAACATCATCGCTTGTATCCTGGTACTGTCCCGAACTGTCTCGGCACAAAGTAAGGTAAGATTGGCTTCAACCTTTTTTACCCACCCAGCTAAACCTGGTGTGTTTTTTTTTCTTGCTGCATTAATTTCATGCTCACCAAAAGATCCATACGTTTAATTGGCAATTCCAGATTGCTATATTTACTTCGAGATTTGGGTAATTCATTGAACGCTGTCAGATGCGATGAATGTCTGTGTATTAATTGCTTCTCAATTTATTAAGCATTACGTCTTATGTTCTTATAAGGGCTTGACTTTATTGTTCTGCTTGTGAAACCACCTTGTCGATATTATCAAACACGAATATTATCTACCGAACGTGTTGACTTTTACTTTCTTTTCCGAAGTCTGCTGACGGCTCGATGTATGTATATCGTCTGCTTCGTTACTTTCCACTTAGTTGCGAAAAGCAAAGCTGTGGATCACGCAATGTATTTCGTAAAACAAATACATGTAAAGGTGTTTTATGATGAAATGCTATTGAACAATTAACGGGAAAGGATTTTTTAAACTCGATATCGCTGGCACTAGCGTTCTGTCCCCAAACCTCCAACTTGTTAAAACTTAAAACACAACTAAAAAAGATTCTACAAAGCACTGCCCTTCAACTATTTCCCAAATTGTCCACAGCGCTTAAACACTTAAAACGGTCAATGCAAGGTGAATTGCAATGCAATGATGTCTTACGGTTTAAGGATCTTCTTTTTCCAATCGCCCCGCTGCAGTTTTCGGCACATTTCAAAGGCGGACGAGAGCACAGGCATACGGGACGTGTCAAATAGTTTTCCTATTAATTATCAGGGTCAGCGGCTTGAAGACAGCGCGGATTCACAGCGCCCTTTGAGGCACGAAATTGGGCAGCAGGTGTCCAATCTGTAAAGTAAACAGGGTTCTGCCCCGTCCAAAGGCGCGACCAGTGTTAACATGGAGCCGAATAACCCAGCCTTGAAAAAAGGCAGTGGTGAACTTCAGAAAGCGTGCTCCTTTTAAAATTACATCAGTGCCCCGCCAGATCTGCTTGATCAGTTGTTTTTAGATCATGCGACCTGTACTGTACCGTATAGCTTGCATATCTAATAGTTTAATAACTCAGAAAATAGTAGAGAGACGTTGGGAACTATTTGATACCTACAACATACACCAACACCTAGTTATTCAGTTGTTTTGTTTTTTTCCCTCACGACAGTGTCTAAAAGATTGCGCTAAAGAAGCTAGTGGCTGCAGTGTTCATCTTCGTACTTTTTGCAGACAGAACGCGGTGAAATCTGTAAATTGCTTTTCCTGTAAATTCCATATTTGGGAATGGAGGCTATAAACGTCCATATATTGTAAGCAATAGAAGTAATTAAACTTTATACAGTGCATATTGCCTAACATCTGAATGTGATACGATGATCGCGTGCATTGATCTAACGCATTTAAAATTTGATGTATATAGTATATCATGGCTTTTAAAAAACAATCAATAGCAATTTTGCATTAAAGCCCTCATGGGTAATAGGTACAGAACCAATCTTCTGTACTTGGGAGAAGTTAATTTAGGATATTTTCCTTGTGCGGGGATACCTGAGCATTCAGATGCAATTTGCTAAATATTTAGACTTCTCACTGTAGATAAAGTTCATGAGTCTCAAAACTACACAGAAGCCAGCTGAATTAATGTATAAACTTTTTTTCCCTCCAGATGGTAATAATTTATCAAATAGTCCATCAACAGATGTCGCTTTAGTTTTGTTTAAGGGAAAGAAACTAAGTTTTCCGCTTAAAAATGTTTGAAATATTCTGCACAAACGCTTAATGCACATAAGCAAAACAGAGCTCTATAGAGGAATACAATCCAATTGAAAAGCTGTATGATAAGAGCAGATTGCTGAGCAGCTGAGCAGACTGGCACTAGTAAAAAGAGCGATAATGTAGTTCAAACTAAAAAAAGAAGCACACCGTGCATGTTAAAAACATACCCTGCATTTAGACTTTGAATCCCAGGAATTTAACACTAATCACATAAAAAGAGCACATCAAGTGGATGCCTTTTTTCTTTTAACTGCTTGTTTCTCAGTTTTTTAACTCTTCCATGCCTTCACACTCCATGGAACTAAAGGAATTCTCTATTACGTTCGCCTAAACGGATCCATTTAACCACCTTGCGCCGTAGCAAAGACTTCTGTCACCTTGCCTCGCATTGCAGGAATCTGGCCTTATCTTCCAAAACCCTTGTTCTCTCCTAAAACAATCAAACATCACTGACCCCCGCGATGGGCTTTTGATTTTGTTTATCTACCACCCTGGTTGTCTTTAGAGATTGTCAGCACAGCATAAGACAGATGGTCAAACATCTTCTATTGCCTTGTTCCTACTGACTTGGTCAGGGCTGGGGTGTTCCCATTGCCCTTGGTGCCAGCTGAGCAAAGGCACAGCTTCCTTCAGCTCTGCTTACACACTGGTTAGGATTTCAGTGAAATAAAGCCCAGTGCCTACGGAGGTGTGCGTTTGCGGAAATGGTCAATGGGACGCTCGGGGACTATGTGGCGGGGATACCAGTAACGTGGGTGATAAAATAAGGTGACGATGAGAGAAATGGGGGATCATGTTATTTGGAAGCAATGTAACAACTGCTCAGCTGCTTTTTAAAACGTGTGTGGGTGGCAGAATACACATATCTGCAATGATGTACGAAATTGCGTCAGAATGTCTTGTGGTCCCATAAGTTTTTGTACGTACAGTACTTTTAATGACATTTTCTGCTATTGAATCTCATTTTCTTTACAACTTACACACCCAGCCCACAGACTTTGTTTAGATACTGTAGGTTATCGTATATATGGGGATAATACGCAGGTACAGTAACTGCCAGAGAGGTGGAAAGTTACAGTACATCTGAACGGCTGTTAGGGTAAATTTGATCAAGAGTTTTACATTCCTTATAGATTAGTTTTACTAATATTGTAAATGCATTCTTGGAGAAGCTTAAACTAGAAATCTGTTTTTTATTAGGGCAACTTTTCTCGCTCCTGTTATTGTTAGGAATTTGTGTCCTAAGTGTTCTGCATTCTTGCCATACACATAGAGTTCCATTACAGAAACACATTTGTTGTTTTAAACGGGTGCTAATCTTGTGAGCATAGCCCATACTGTAGGCAACAGCTGCTTAATCCTCACATGGCCAGGATGCCTGACAGGGGTTAAAGAGCAGATCTGTTAGAGAGATGGTCTAAACTTTCTTAAAAAGGGCTAAATGTTTGCATTGAAAAGTGCTATACTGGGCACATTTTAGGGAGCATCAGCTTTTCATTTAATCAAACAAACATAGAGATACATTATGATGGGAGACCTCCTGGGAAAAACTAAGGTTGCTGCTGGAAGAGGTGTTAGTGGGGCCAGCAGGGGGCGCTCACCCTGCGGTCCATGTGGGTCCTTATGCCCCAGTATAGTGATGGGGACACTATACTGTATACTGGCGCCATCCTTCGGATGAGACGTAAAACCGAGGTCCTGACTCTCTGTGGTCATTAAAAATCCCAGGGCGTTTCTCGAAAAGAGTAGGGGTGTAACCCCGGCGTCCTGGCCAAATTTCCCATTGGCCCTCACCAATCATGAACTCCTAATAATCCCCATCTATGAATTGGCTACATTACTCTGCTCTCCTCCCCACTGATAGCTGATGTGTGATGGCGTTCTGGCGCACTATGGCTGCCGTCGCATCATCCAGGTGGGGCTGCACATTGGTGGTGGTGGAGGGGAGTCCCCATTACCTGAAAAGCGCTTTGAGTGGAGTGTCCAGAAAAAGCGCTATATAAGTGTAAGCAATTATTATTATTATTATTATTATTATTATTAGATGGGTTCGTGCAAATGCGTTTTCCAGCAGAACCTCTTGGTTGCAGGTGGCATGGTGGCGCAGTGGTTGCCGTCTCCTGGGATGGAGTTTGTATATTCTTCCTTTGTCTGCATGAGATTCCTTGAGATGCTCCAGCCTCAATGTATACAGGTAGACTCATTGACTTCCGGGAAAACTGTCCCTGGTGGGAGCGTGTGCGGGTTTGTGCCAGCGTGTGCCCTGCGATGGGTTGGCATCCCATCCAGGGCGATTCCTTCCTTGTGCCCATTGCTTGCTGGGACGTGGTCCAGTTCCCCCTTGACCCTCTATTAGGTAAAGCGGTTAGGAAAGGGATGGATTTAGGTTGCTGTCACTGTTAAATGCTGCTTTTGAAAAAAAAATATCTGATGACCTCTGCAGGTCCATAGTTGCCATTATGGAAAGATGAACATTTTTGGGCTCAGCGATGTATGTGTTTATTGAACTTGGCTTAAATCAGTCTTCATACTGGCTGCACCTTCTGATATATACAGTATTTCAATTACTTACATGTGCTGTCAGGGTCCATTAGAAGCTCAGTGAATGATCTGCTCTTTAAGCTTTTAAATAAATGAGACCCTCTGATCCAGAGGCTTCTCCCAGCACTCCCATTTTTAAGTTCTTATTTGTTGCTGTCTCTAGCAAAACCTAATTGAACAAAACAAACACGCAGCTTGAATCAACAGAGCTTAGGAGGAAGCTTTGATTGCAGTAGGACTGTTTTGTGTCTGCTGACTAATGAAATGTTTGCACTACACTGGAAACTGTTTTTTTTTTCACTGCTATTCTCCTGCCAGAGGAGCAGAGCAGTTTGGAATGGGTTTAAGGGTGTCTGAACATTTGCGCTCTTTGTTGCCTCCTTTGGATGCACAGTATGCAAACTCATCATATTCACGGGATTCATGTGTTGCTAATCCTGAATCATCAAAAGATCCAAATGATTTACAGCCTGAAAATGCACTTCTTGGGAAACAAAAAAAATAAGATTGCATTGGTTTCTAGTAATTAATGTTAAAAGCAAGAGACCAAAAATATATAAAGTATGATGCACATTATATCTAATGAAGATGTCTAATGTAATAACTACAGTCTCTACAACAATATACAGTATCTGCTATCAGCCACCTAATATTGTCCTCGGAGAACTCCTTGTCCGTCCATTACCAGTCCTAGTAAGAGCTTTTGAACTGTCTCAATCAGGGGTTTAACTGCAGAATAGTTTTCCATCCTGGTTATTTGGAAGAGGTACAGCTGGCATATTGTGATTATGAAGCAGAGTCCAGCCTGTTTTGCATGACAGCAGATAGTGATTTTTTATCCAAATAAAGCAGGCTAAACCGAGTTATTAAATATTCACTAAAAGCTCATTCTCAAGTCCAACACAGGGCTTTCTCATGGAAAAGTTTTTGGGGAGCTAGGCATTGACTATTGTCCACTGAGTTCCACTCTCAAGAGGCCTTCGTTTCAGTCCACTCAGCTAGAGACTCTTTCCCAAATTGTTCAGGAAAAACAAGAATTGTGGACTGTCTGACAGTCCACATCACATTAAAGGAATTACAGGCGTTCATTTGTATTCTAATTAAACTTAAGATTTAATTGGAACCAATTTAAAACCCAGATTTAGCATTTCCACCTTTTAAGGTGCTCTGGCACAACACTTCTTCTTTGGTTTTGGGGAAAACTGGTCATAAGTTTTCTTCACCTCCTCACCCCTAGAGTGAAAGGATTCAGGCCGCTGGGTTTTGCATTTTCGAAAGAACTGATGACTTTCTCTTTAGAAAACCAAGGCTCATTACTCTGGATTTCTAAATTGTTTTTAGACTCCTTTTCAAAACCTGAGTATTTTCTCTTCAAAGGAGCCTAAAATGGAAAGAAAATAAGAAACAATCACACTCGTGCTCCGTTAATCACGAGGCATGTTTGCAACTGCCCTGACATTCTTAAGTGTCTTGCCCATCTGTTTCTCTTGACTATAAGAGGACTGTGTCCGACCGCTGTATCCATTGCTCAACATGATGCTTCTAT